GACCAGAAACTGACTCAAATCTCCCCAAAAAAGGACCTGAAACTGACTTAAATCTCCCCAAAAAATGAGCAGAAAGTGACCCAAATCTCCCCAAAATAGGACCCAAAACTCAGGCAAATCACCCCAAAACTGACCAAAATCTCCCCAAAACACGGTCCAAAACTGTCCCAAAACTCCCCCAAAAAAGGACCTGAAATTGACCCAAACCTCCCCAGCAAATGAACAGAAAATGACCCAAATCACCCCAGAAAATTGCCCCAAAAGTGCCAAAAATCTCCCCAAAAAATGGTGCAAAACTGACTCAAATCTCCACCAAAAAAATTACCAGAAACTGATCCAAATCACCCCAGAAAATGACCCAAATCACCCCAGAAAATGACCCCAAAACTGCCAAAAATCTCCCCAAAAAATGGTCCAGAACTGACTCAAATCTCCCCGAAAAATGGTCCATAACTGTCCCAAATCTCCCCAAAAAACGACCAGAAACTGACCCAAATCACCCCAAAAGGTGACCAGAAACTGACCCAAATTATCTCAAAAAGTGACCAGAAACTGACTCAAATCTCCCCAAAAAAGGACCTGAAACTGACCCAAATCCCCCCCAAAAATGACCCAAAACTGACCCAAATCACCCCCAAAAAACGACCCAAAACTCTGCATTTGTTTGGCCTCATTTCCTCTCAAAAACAACATCTCCAATTTAGTTGACTGCTAAAGCCATCATTTTAAAATCATCCCAGGAATCAAAAGGGACTGGAAAACACACAGAAAGCATTCCTACACCCACCAAATCATTACGAATTGAAAGCCGATTCCCTCATCTCCCTCCTTGTTTTTCTTGGCTGGAAAACCTGATGATCCCCACTGGCTATTTTTAGGCTGCTTTTCTTCCACAGCTCCTTTCTCCCGGCTGAAACCTCCTGGCATATTCAGGGCTTATCTGGAAGGAAGCCCCTCTGAGGTATTTCCTCTCGTGGCAATTCTGTGGGATGAAGAAGTAAAAAAAGCACGTCAGGAGCTCCTTCTCCCCCCCCCTTCCCTCACAAACACCCTCCCGGTTTGTCCTCGGCAGCTCCATCCCCCCCGGCACCCGCCCCCGACGCTTCGGCTCCCCTGGGAAAGGGACAGCAAGTGCAGGAGCAAGCTCAGTGCTGGGCAGGGGCTCCCTGGGGAACGACACTTCAGTGCTTTAGTCCGTGGCCTTTCCTGCTGCCCTCCCTCCTGGAGGCAGAGGACGACCCCTCCCTTGTTCCTCCCACGCTCGCAGACCCAGGTCCTGCTCTTTTGGCCCCACTTTTCTTAGCAGACCCGGCATCATTTTCCAGGGTCCCCAGGAAACTTCTGCACTTGACCCATTGCTAAGTGCAGAGCACAGGGCAAGGGAAGGACAAATTTCTCAGCACCCACCACCTGGAACTTTCCTTCTCCGCAGCACGCTCCCGTTCCCGCTGTCTCTGGAGGTGCCCGCACGAGTCCTCCTCGTCCCAGCACCTAAGAGAATGTCATTTTCACCCAGGTCCTGCTTCCCGTCGTCCAACAAAACACGCTGATGACATTTTTCATGATGCCAGTGGAGAGATATTAGAGCACGCTGCACAGGGAAGCCGAGGCTGCCCCATCCCTGGAAGTGTTCCAGGCCAGGCTGGACGGGACTCGGAGCAAGCGGGGACAGTGGAAGGTGTCCCTGCCCACGGAAGACGGGGTGGCCTTTGAAGGTCCCCTTCAAACCAAATCGCTCTACCATTCCCCTCCAAAATCACTACCAAAGAGGCACAGCAATCAAAGCAGAGGGACTGCACTCCCAGCTTTTCTTACCTGCAGGCACACGGCACGCTGGACATAAAAGCTACAGGGTTAGTCCTGCCAGAGGCGTCCGGCACATCCACGGCGACCGAAGGGAAAGAGGGAGCCTGGGAACACGGAGTAAAAGACACTTTAATTAGGACTGCACCGACCAATAGCCAGGTCATTCCCACAGACAGCTTCACCGTCCAGTCACACGAAAAGCACTTACCCAGCAGGGCCTCAGTTAGGATGGCTCCTGACGCTGACCAGGCAAACACCTCCGTTTGCCCCGGGGGGTCAAGAATAACATCCCTGGTAAGAAGCCACCCCGAACGACAAAAAGGGAAAATTAGTGAAGCACGGGGTCCTCTTCTGACTAGACTGCCACCGGCATTCAACAGCAAATGCCACAACTATTCTGTTACAGACGAGAAAACCCTGTTCTCCCAGACAAACAGCGAGGAGATTTATGGGCACGCCTGAAAATTTCCTGGGAGGAACTTTTTTGTAACTAAGGAGCAGGTGCTATCTTGAGTTGAAGGTATCACTCCCTCAACCCCAAGGCATCCTTAGGATGCCTCCGACTCCGGATTTAAGCTCGGAGAAGCTCGGCAGGGCCAAAACACCGCCGCTTCCCCACGGGCGTCGCTTCCCAGCCCGCCCCCGAGCGCCGGGCCCTGCCTCACAGTCGCCGCCTGGCGGACACGGCCGGGAGCGGCACTGCAGCCGCGCGCCCCCCCACACACACACTTGGCGAGACCCGCGGCGCCTTTCGCGAGTACGGGCCTTTCTTCCCTAAAACCTGCCCTTCCCTAGGGAAAGCTGAGCAATTCACAGAGTTGCTGTTTCCACCCCAGCTTCCCAAAGGGTTTCTCTCTCCCGGCAGCACAGACAGGGTCCCCGAGGCAGCGCAGACCCTCCCCGCGGGGGGGGTGGGGGGCGGGGGGTGTGTGCAATGCCAGGGCACATCCGAACCCGGCTCTGCGGCGGCACGCAGGTGCAAGTTTCTCCGCAGAGGCGAGAAACTTGCCTGTCGCTTCCCCTGCCTGCAGCCCGACGGCCGCGGGAGAGGCAGAAGAGCGGCCGCGCCCCCGCCGCGCCCCCGCCGCTTACCCCGGGGACGATCGCCGTCGGATCTGCCGCCGTGGGTCGCTTCCGGAGGGAAAAAGCGGCGGCGCAGCCCCGACAGCATCTCCAGGGCACGGCAGGACGGAGCGGGAGCAGGAGCGGGAGCGGAGTGGGGCGATAGGGCGGCGCCGCGCGTCCGCCGCGCGTCCGCCGCGCGTCCGCCGCGCGTCCGCCGCGCGTCCGC